GAGTGCTGGATTACCACCAAATTCCTCCATTCATTCTTTTTTCCCAGCCCCCAGGAGCTGTCAGCCATGAGAGTGAGCCGGGGGGGCATGGGGGGGCAGGACTAGGTGGACAGCTCCAGGGCAGGGCACGGGGAATTTTTCAGGACACGGTTCGTGATGGTTGGTTTGCCTATACCTGTGCCAGGGTGGGAAGATAACCTGCTGTGCGAGCCCCAGCTGGTGGGGACCCCCCATCCACACAGGGAGAACAGGGCAAAGAGCCGATTTTTGGACAGCGGCAAGTCTCCAATGCTGATTGCATCATACCACTGTGCCAGAGCAGGGATTCCCTCCATCCAAACCCTCTGAACAGACTGAGAGGAACTAGGAGGATGGCTCAGCTACTGCCTTGCTCCACTCCCCTGCCCTGCACACTGCAGAGGTGTGGAGGGGTGGGTGAGAAGTGATTTCCAGGTCACATAATGCTCAATAGACTCTCAGCTCCTTCAGCCACATGCACCCAGTGCTGGCAGGAGCCACCTCGTGCAGCAACATCACCCTTCTCCTCTCCAGGAAATGTGCAGGCACATCTCAGCAAACATGAGTTAGCAGCACTGGATTGTCAAACTGAACAATTCTAGAGGTTAAACCTCAAATCTGCTCTCAGGACCCCGTAAACCATTGGGATTTGGTCTCTACTTTCATTGTGCCCATCCCTGTCTCTCCCCAAGGGCTGCTCTCCACAGCAAGAGGAGCTCAGAGAAAAGGGTATAGGATGGCTGGGAGTGATATCTGGTAATGATTTGGGCTCAGGGTGAGGCATGGTGCTGGTGGAGCCAACAGGACTGTGGGCTTGCTGGGGTGCAAGCCTTGTGAGCACCATTCCCACAGAGAGGACCAGGAGGGCCAGTCTGGGATGGCAGCGCCTTTTGATTTGCCTGCTTCTTCCCCTGTGACTCATAGGCATGGGTGTCCTATTATTTTCCTGCTTTATGGGATTTCCAGCCCTGGGGAAGATCTGGAGCCCTTGCTGGAGCCATCGCCTGTCTGGCTCCCTAGGCATGGCAAGGAGGGCACCCCCAAAAACAGCAAAAAGCCTTTGCCCTGAACTCTGTCCATGGGTGCCTGGGGTGGGATGTCCTCAGTGGTGCCCTCTCCTCCCTGTTGTCCTGGCCATTGAACCACTTTCTCTCCCCTTCCTAAACTGAAGAGCAGGAATCCTCTCTGCTTTGGTGGAAAATTGCATTGCAAGACTGGTGGGCAAGGAAGGTGATTTTTCACTGGTATCAGAGAGTGGTTTGGGTTGGAAGGGAACTACAGGCCCACCTCATTCGAATCCCACTGCCATGGGCAGGGACACCTTCAACTAGAACAGGTTGCTCCAAGCCCTATCCAACCTGGCCTTGAACTTTTCCAGGGATGGGACACACAGGTCTGTCTCCGCCTGCCATGCCTGCAGGTTCCCAGCATCCGTGGCTCTGTCTCTCACCTGGCTGGCTCCAGCACATGTGTCACCAGATGCTCTGTCCAGTAGTCCCCAGCAGCAGGATGAGAGAAGCTGCCTGTTGATGCCACCTAACCTTTCTGGTGTTGCCTAGATGCCGGTCTGAGACACAGCCTGTGCAACCCAGCAAAGGCACAGGTGGTAGATCTGTCTCTTCATCCTCTCCCACTGCTGTAAGACACCATTTTTGTCTTCTCTTCTGGATGTGCAAAGAAGTCACAGATTGATGTAATGGGTTGACCCATCAACATTTCAGCCACCACCAATCCTTCCATCACTATTACCTGCACCATACTGCCTAGGGTTTCCATAGTCATAGAATAACCTGAGTTGGAAGGGACCCATAAGGATCATCAAAATCCAGCTTCTGGCTTGGCACAGGAGAACCCCAATAATCCCACCATATGCCTGAGAGTGTTGTCCAAATGCTCCTTGAGCTCTGACAGGCTGTGACCACTGCCCTGGGGCGCTGTTCCAGTGCTCAAAACACCCTCCTGGGAAAGAACCTTTTCCTGATATCTAACTTAAATCTCCCAGGACAAAGTCTCCACTGTGGATGGTTGCACTCATTTGCTCTTCACACTAATCTTCCCTTTTCCATAGCAACTCTCTATGCTTCTCCACTTGTTCCTTGTCAAATCATAACTTTCCCTCTCCTTTCCACCTCATCCATCCCTGGAGTGGGAAGGAACTCATCCTCCAGGAGCAGGAGAATGCTCAGTGGCTGCAGGGAGAAGGTTTCTTCTGATGTCATGAAGCAGCTGAGGAAAGCTGGGAGGTGAGCAGGAGTCATGAAAGTCAACAGGCATGGCCAGAGGGTTGCACCTGGGCTATGCTCCAGGCTGTTGTCAGAACTGCTTCTGCTTCTGCTGCTCTTGAAAGCCATAAGTAGGCAATGCTGGGACCAAATCCCAGGACCCAACTATTTCCCTCATGTGCAGCCTTCCACCTGTTGAGGATTGCTTTTCATTCCAGTCTCAGTATGTAGCTCTGTTTCTCACTAAGACCTTTGGCTGTCCTGCCTCTGCAGGAACCTGTATTTTAGGGCCTGATCAGCAGGTCTGTGGGGTCCTGCCCTGGGCAAGTGTTGACTAGGGGGGAATATGTGGTGGAGTGAATTCAGGACAGCTCTTGAGCTGGGAGCCAAAGATCCCTGGCTCCCAGCTGGAGTCAAGGCGCCAGTGGGAGACAGTCCCTGGTCCCTCAGGACAGGGAGTACTGCAGGCACTGAGGTCCTCACTTCCCTGGCTGTCTGCACTAAGGCATCACAATTTTCAAGTCAAATCAAGGACCTGTGTGGATTTTCCAGACACTGGATTTTCAGGAAAAAAAAAGAAATCTGTATAACCTCACCAGTTGAGTCATTCAGTGCAAAGCTACATAAAAATGTCATTAGTCTCTCCACCTGCTCCATCCTGGACTGTCCCATGCAGGAGGCTGGTGAAAGGCAGTTGCACAAGCCCCAGAGACCTACAACTTCCTAAAAAAAAAAATCTACTGCTGCAACTCCAATGCTTTTTCTCATTTATTTTATTTTTTCTCAGTGTTTTGCATCCTACCTCGGCAGACAATTTCCAGATCTGGGCTAAAACTATCTGAGCAGTCCTTGGAAGAGGAAACCACACCTCCCTTCTCCCGGTGCTCTGACTGCTGAGCAACTGCCACATAAATTTTCTCCAAATTAGGAGCACTTCTGTGAAGATCTCCTGAGCAATAAAACCAGCCAAGCTTGGTCAAAGACTTTTGAAGACCAACATGCTTTCAAGCATAAACCCTCATTATAAACACATTATAAACACTCATAATCTTTATGCAAACACTCCTATTCCTCCTTCCAACAGCTGAAAAGGTTCTGCCTGCTGATACATGGCATCTCAAAAATTAGAGGTTTGACTCAACACTTGACATCATCTTTCAGAGGCACCTGCATTCTCTGTCCATAAAACAGCTGTTTTCCAATTCTCAGCTAAAGCCTGGGGTTGCAGCCTTTGGGAAGATCTCAGCATGGGGCTTATTGTGCTGGGTTAGGAATAGGTTGAGCCTTGTCGCCCTCAAACTGACCAGCTCCCAGGCACAGAACTTGCATGTCTCTCCACTCATCAACACAACAATGCTCCCTGTCCAGCTGTTGCCCTTGCCTCTGTAGCTGAAGCACACAAGGAAATTATAGTTTCTTCTTCATGTCCTTATGAATACTTTTATATGTCTTTCCTTATGGCATTACCACAGGTGGGAATGTCCATAGTGCTTGGTGTCTCTGAGAAGTCTTAGGATGCCTCTCCCTATGCCACCTCTGATCCATCAGTGTTCATCCACAGCTCTGAAAATTTGGGCTTCTGTATCATTGAATCATTTAAATTGAAAAAAATTCCTTAAGATCATCAATTTTATGTCCAGAGGGAACCTGAATGATGACCCTGCACTGCGTTTGACATGGCAGGCACCTAACTTTCTCCGATGGGGCCGGGAATGCTACTATGGACAAAGTGCACCTGCATCCAAGGTGGGCATTCTGTGGCAAAGAGCAAGAATGAAGAGCCTAATCCTTGAGGTCTGACTTTACCCTAGTATATCTTAGGAGTTTTTTCACTCTTCATAGTCATCCATAAACATTGGGTAAGCTGACTCACCTCACTCAGCATAGGATGCCAATCCAAAGGAGCACCTCCTAAGAAACCCAGTTCTACTTTTTTCTCTTGACCCCACATCCATCCTCCTTAGCTCAGCCCCCAAGAAATAGCTGCAAAATGCAGGGCAAATGCCATTTTGAAATGTCAAACCTTTGCATTTCCACCTCCTTGAGGGAGCAAGCAATAAGTGTGCTCCTGTGGAAATTCTTCCCTAAGCAGGTGCTTGCTGTGGGGCAGCAACCTGGAGAGATTTCCAGACTGAGAAAGTTGCCTTCGGGCTGGTCACAGCAAACCACACACTTATGCCAGCACAGTGAAGAGCTGGGCAGCAGAAACCCCCATGTCATACAGAAACAAACCTCCCTGTGAGCAACAAGTTGCCTTCAGAGCAGGTCGCCCCTCTAGGTTCCAGAACAGGAAACACCAGAAGACTCAGACTATGATATAGCATGACTTTAATGAGAAACAGAAAGAGAATAAACCAGTTCAGAGTATGAGGAATGCATTTCCAGTGCTCAATAAAGAAAAGGATAAACCCCACTCCAGGACACACTGATCCCTGCAAGGTGTTCCTCTGCCCCACCACCCCATGATTACCATCTGCTGTCTACAGCCTGCTAGAAGCATTTATGACCAGCCAGCAGCAAATGCTGTGTAGAGCAAGAAAATATAGAGTAAGACTTAGTAAGAGAAAGGTATACAGAGGTATGGGCTGGAGCAACAAGCTCGCATGGCTTCCTTCCTCCTGGGGTGACTGCGGATGCTCTCCACAGCTGGAAAACCCAGGGACATCACCTTAATCCTCTTCCCCGGTCTTGGTCCTGTGCTTCATTTGTCCTTCCCACGCTGCTGGCATCAGCAGAAGGAGGTGACAGCCGGGGCCACGTCTACAGCCCAGTACCCAGGCATAGCAGTCCCACCTTCCCCAGCCCCAGGGGACCAGCAGGGGCCACGGGGATCCCGCAGCACCGGAGGTAGCTCCCGACTGCTGCCGACGCTGTGGATCCCACGGTCGTGTTCTGCACGTAGGAGCTGAGGATGGGCCCGGGCAGGGTGACCATGACAGTGGGGGGCTGGATGACCGCAGTGGAGTCCCCGCAGCGGCGGAAGCAGGGCTGACTGCAGCTGGTGGCCAGTGGCCGGGGGCCGCAGGAGGAGGGCAGGCACAGGTCGTAGCAGGACATTGCTCAGAGAGGATGTACACCTGAAAGCCAGAGCCAGGGCATAACTGCAAGGCAGAGGCTGCTCTGGCCCTGCTGAGCCCCAATAATAATGGGAGTGGCTCCCCTAATAAGAGGGGTGGGAGAGCGAGCTAGAGGGTGAGTTTGGATGGCTTAGAAACACCAATGGAAGGCTCTCCAAATGGGCAGGAGCTGGCTTCCCCACTCCCTCACCCCACAGCCTGCTCGGGACAATGCAAGGTGTTCCCTTTGAGCTGCAGGTTTGGGGAAGCTGGACACACCAGGTGCTGAGAACAGAGAGCAGACCTGCTCCTGCTCCAAGCTGGTAGCAAGCCTTCAGCAAGCAAGGTGCTCACCAAGGTGCAGCTAGCTGCAGCCATACCCTCTTAAACCAATACAATGTGACCTGAGCTATCCCATCCCAAAACATAAGGGGTATGATGCCCCTCCATAAACAGGGACATATTGATCCCTGCAACCTGGGCTTGTCCTATCCTAAACTTTTTCCCCTTCATTAAGGAAAACCATGCAGGATACAACCGGCTCCATGGCTGCAGACTCTGCAAGCCCTGCGTCCCGCAACCCCTTGCACTCCACACTTCAAGGCAGAAGTACAACCTTCCCCGGTGTCCTCAGGGAAGGGAACAGGTAACAAGCCCTGAAATCCTGCGGGGGACCAGGCAATAGCTCCATGGGAAGGGGATGAAGCCTGCCTTGACTTACCCAGATGGAGGTGGCAGCAATGGCAGCTGGCAGCAGGTGGTGGGGCCAGACACTGTCCCCACAGTTTTATAGGGTGGCCTGGCCCCCGGGGCATTGGATAAGCACCATCCACCTGAAACTCTCCAACAACCAGCAGTTTTCTTCTGGAAAGCTCCCCCGGTTCATTAAACAGTTCCCTCTTTCATCTATCATGTTTTGCTTCCATTTAATACTGAGTAAGATTGAAATGATTCGGGTTAAAGGCATTAATTACCTTCCCTCCTAAGGCCAAAGGACATTTTAGGTCTTTATGCTACCAGGCAGGAGTGTGTTTAGCAGAACTGAGGGCAAGTGCATCCCCACCTTCCCCTTCCAGCACAACAAATTCAGCTCCCCAGTGCACTTGAGGTGAGACTGGGGATATAAACTGAACATAAGGGACATCCATTTGGAGTGGTCCCTCTGACAGCAGGAAGACTGGGGAGCTGCAGGGGAGAGGGTGCTGGTGGTGACCCATGCAGACATGGAGATCTGAGCTAGTTCAGGATGAGCAAATCATTGCATTTTTGGATCCACTTAGAGGGTTTGCATTTTTTGCCATTATTCTTCACACCAGGGGTATGAATCCTGCTTGGAAGGCACAGAGTGACCATGAGCACTGAAGTCTACCCCCAAAAGGTGACACACACCTAGCCTGACTAATTTTCTGCAGGGAACTGACTTCCAAGAGCCCTTCTATCCTGCCCAGCCCTGGCAGCAGTGAGCCAGAAGGTCACAGCTATGCCTCCTCAGGAAGGAGCAACATCATCAAGACATGGTTAATTACAGGCTGAGGTGTGACCCCGGATTGCTCTGCTGGAAGCTTGTTAGCTGCTCAACAGTCCCAAACATCCCAACCTGCACTTCAACATGAATCATCTACGCAATGGGGAGAGTTGCTGACATGGTCCCAAGCTGGGGGGTGAGCCATCGAGCTCTAGGGGCAAGGAAAGTTTGAAAAAGGCTTTTCATTTCACACCAGCAGAGCCCAGATGAAGGCACAAACTTCTTCTGTCCTGGAATAAACCCTAGCAATACTGGGGTACATGTAATATGCTTGTGTGGAGCTGTCAGCATCCTGTTCAAGCTGTGCTTTGTAGGGGCTTGGGGGTCATGTTAGTTCTTGGGGTGATTTGGCCATGGCTGATCACACTGAATGGTCCCTGGTGACTCCTCTCTGCTCTGCCTGCCAGGGCAAAAAAGCTTTTCAGAGGCTCTAGGTTCAAACCCAGCTATTTTTTTAACATCATTCTGGAAGGGGGAAAAGGAAATTGGCTTTTCTGAGGTGCAGTGGTCACATCTTCAGAGAGAAGCAACCTGGCAGCTCCTGGAGCAAGACAGGAGGCTGTGGGTGTAACACAACCTCCTAACTAGTGATTTTGTGAGCAGGAAAAGATGAGGCTTCATTTAAAGCTTTACCTAGCTGCTTTTTGAATCACTCTTGAATAAAAAATCCTTGGCACAAGTTCACTTTGGACCCGCAGCCTGAGAATTAAACCCTTCTTCTGCCAGTCAGGGTTTCCTTCCCTTCACTAATCACCTCCCATCTCTTGATTTCTTCTCATCTCTCTGTGTTTCAGTTTTGCAATCCAGTTGAAGTACTTGAGGTTCTGCTCACATTGGACTATCATGTCTCATGTCCTAGAATAATATCCAGGGATGCAGCAATGTTTGGGATAAATGCAACAGGACACTTTGAGAAGGAATGTTGCTGAATATAAGCAGATTTGTCCTTGCTCTGGAGAAGGGGATGGGGGAAAAAAGGCACATGCCAGGAAGTTAAAATAATCAGATTTGTGTGATGAACAAAATTAAAACAAAGGAAAACCATAGGGGAATGAGTAGATATTTGGGAGACTAGATTTTCTAACCCCTATTTGTTTCAGGGAATGAGCACTTTCTGCTTGAGATGTGGCTGTCTTTGGAGGAACCTCTACCCTGAGAAAATGTCACCAAACCAAACATGTTAGACCCACTTTCTTAATTTCTGCATGGATCCAGGATGTGTGGCCACCTCGGCCCTGCGTCTACCTGCAGAGAAGAGTGTGAGGAGAAACATGGCCCAGGACCAATAACACATGTGTTTCCCTTCCCATCACCAGCCCCAGCAGCACTTTGCAACTCCAATTTCCCCACTCTGCATTTTGATTTCCATCTATCCAAGGGCTGGAGGTTTCTGAGATCAGCTGGAGGGCAGGAGCTTGCCCCTGTCCCAGAATTTCTCCTGAAAGCTAAAGCCAAGGACACATGTTGGGAGCAGCAACAGACCCACTGTATCCCATCACCAAGGAACACCTGCACCCAGTGCACTCACCCAGGGCTTGCCTCTTGGCAGCAGGACATGTGGGGACCACTCACAGGCAGCTGATGGATGAGTGGGACACCGCAGTGCCAGGAGGCAGCATCCTGGTGCAGACAGGCCCAGCCACAGAGCACCCTGGCTGCCTGTGTCCTTGTCAGGGCAGACTCGAGGTGCTCCAGGGCTGCTGTGTGCAGCTGGAAGAGCAGAGCCTAGCCAGTGCCACTGGAGAGAGCCAGGCTCCAGCTGCCAGGCGCTGTCCTGGGGCTGCAGATGATCCAGTTCCCTGCCACCATGCATTCCCTGTAATTGCTGGCTCCCCAGGTGGGCTGATGCTCCACAGTGTCACTAAGGCTGGCACATCCCCCAGGAGGACTCATCACTGCTCACCAGGGCAGGGACATACATGTGCCAGGGCAGGGTTGAAGTGTGTCCCAAGGGAGTCAGTTTGGCTTCTCTACCAGCTTACCTCTGCCCTGCAAGTCGCCAGGTCCCATCCTGTGACAGCAGCTCCCATACCATGTGCAGCCTTGCACCCACCACCCCATCCCATTTAACCATCTCCAGCTGCAAATTGATGTTTCTCCAGGGGCTACACCCAAACCCATGCCTTTTCCCCAGAAAGTCTTCCACATATCCCTCACAGGGTACCTGGCTGTCCAGGCAGGGACATTCCTCTTTCATGGAGTGGCAGAGCTGGCCAAGCACTGCAGCATCTCACAGCAGTGGAATGGGATGGGACTGATGTTTCCCAGAAGCCTGATCATGGTATCCAGCTCAGGAGAAGCTGATGGACGGGAGCAGTTCCCCACTGGTCCCCATAGGCATCTACCCATGTCCTGGGAAAGAAATGTGGCCAAAAGGAAGGTCAAAAAAGTGTGGGCAGCTAAGCCTGAGCATCCTCACCTTCCCTCAAAGCCACAGCATTGCTCCATGTATCCTCATCAATAGAAAGAAGGAGTAGTGGGTAGGGAAGGTGCAGGTAAGGCTGGCACAAGACATTTCCCAGCCACGTTAAGGCACAGGCTTCCCTCCCTGCAAGATCGTTGGGGTTACAGAGGTGGTTTTACCTCTTTCACCTTGGCATAGCTCACCCTCTCCTCTCTCCAGGAATCTCCACTGTGAGCTCTGCTGCAGCCACAGAAGGGAGATGCCAACACATGGCAGCTACTCCATCCCCAGAACAAGAACCTCTAGGGCACAGCAATACATCCACAGTAGCTTTTAGCTTTTGGCTCCCGTTGGTACGACAAAGATGCCCATGGATGCTGGGCACCTTCCCTGTCCACAGTTCAGTGGTTTCCCACCTGGAGAAAAGGCAATGGGGATGGCAGGAGAGGTCCGCAAGTGGAGGGCAGAGCAAAACACGAGTTCTCAGGCTGCACCACAATCCTCTACTCTCTGCAGGTAAGGGGACCCGACGAGGGTGGGATTCGAACCCACGCGTGCAGAGCACAATGGATTAGCAGTCCATCGCCTTAACCACTCGGCCACCTCGTCCCCTGTGACCACTCATTTTGGGCACATTTTTTCCCTTTTTCTGACCTCCAACACAAAACTGCGCGTGGCTCCTCAGTGTCCTCTAGGCTGGGCCAGCAGTCCCTGTCACAGCAGGGCAGGAAGGCAAGCAAGTGTTTGCAATTCATTTGCCTCTCTCCTTGTTCCCTTCTGTGTTCAGAGGGTGGCAAAGGGCAACGGGGCATTTATTTTGCCAAAAAGTTTGTGCCTTAGGCTTCTCCATCACCCACCCACTCCCAACCTGTTCAGAGGGTTTTCCAACATGATTCAACACCAGTTGTACAAAGAAATAGGGAAGATTGTGGGGGTCCAGCCAGCATCAAATATACCTCTTTTCATAGAATTAGAGAATCAACCAGATTGGAAAAGATCTCCATGATCACCAAGTCCAACCCTACCGTGATTACTAGACCATGGCACTAAGTGCCACATCCAGTCTCATCTT